TATATATCTTCTTGCTTTTTTTCTTAGTTGATGCCTCATAACTGTGGTATCTCCAAAATAGTGGGTCACTACTGTGACTTTGCTTCATCTTCACAACTGTAGGCTGTGAACTCTCAAAATGGCTTGCTCATACTCTCTGCTAAACCATGCTTGGAAACAGTGGTTCTCTGTTATTTTCAAACTTGTATGGCTAAGTAACTAATATAGAAATGTCGCCAATTCCTGCTGTAACTGGGCGGTCCCTGAACTCCTTGGGTCACAGCTGCAGTTGCCTTTGTTTGCCTGGTTGGTTGAATCCACGAGATCACTCTCCTAGACAGTTGTATTTTGAGCAGCTAACGACTCCAGTGGCATAATTGCTTCGGTTTTCGCAGTCTCCTCCTGTCAAGTAGCATCAGGTATCTTTGTTCTGGAATCACAGCCCAGTCGTTTTCTATAACCTTAATTGATTTTCCTTTTATCTCTTTATTGCTGCCCCGAAGTTAGGCTTCTATATCTACAGTGCTGCCTGGTGGCAGCCATGCAGTGGGGACCAAAAGCAGTGAAATGGCCCTGGGAGGAGCCTGGTTCCATATGAGTTAATGTTAGCCTCTTTCCTTCCCACATCTTGTCCCTTAGATTCTAACCTGAGATATTCTCAAACACTTTAAATTTGAATTAAATGAGCCTTTCATTTATAGAAATAACTCTTAAGGAAGATTCATTGGGTATGCTTAATCACATATAGTTTCTAAAACTATTTTCAGGACACATTTTTGTGTGAACTTTATTACATTGTATCAATGTTTTAAATTTCTTTTGTTACACAGTGCACTCTCAACCATTTGCTGTTTAATGGTTGTATTTTAAACAGAATATTATAACATCTTCGATTAATTTAAATTCTTCATTCAGAATTGCTCAAAATCACCACACAAATTTATTTATGCTGGGCGTGATTAAAGCTGAGGTGGTCCTTATTTATTCTTCAATAGACAAAGTTCACAGAGATAAAAGATATATGTACTTCATGTTTATGTTTGCAACTTCTTTTGCACAGAGCATACACATATTGTGATCCCAAGGTTATCGATAGATAGTTAAAATAGTGTGGGTCTAGCTGGACTAGCCAGCAGCATTTACCAAGACTTTTAGAGACCCATCACTAATGTGGGAGCAAAGAGCATTCAATATGTAATAGCATATTAAAAACCAAAAAAATTTGGAGTATCTGCTCTATTTTCTGTACTTTTAACTTATTTAAAAAAAAAACCCACTGAGAAAAATCTTTAATAAAAATAGTAACGAATGTCTAAAATAATGTATATAATTAGTTCGCTGTGTCATTAGCAATGCTTGCCAAGTACTGAAAGAATTTTTAATAAACTTAGGACAAAATGAATGTACACACAAGAAATATATTTCAATTAATGTACTAAACTAAGGATTCAAATAGTAAGGCTACTCTGAATCTATTAGAACAATGAATTTTTATACTCATATACAAATTCCCAAGTATAATAAACTTCATGTCAAAATAATTCATTTTTGCAGAAATGGATGTCTTGAATAACAGAAGTATACGACATGCACAAAACAAATTTGAATTTAATTCCCTTTTTTCTATGTTAGTGCTTCACCTTACAATTTGAAAACAATTTTGTAATTACGTGGGTTTGGTGTCTAATATGTAAATCTCTTAGAGTTGGAGCAATATAGCTGAGTAGTAGAATGCAGAAACTTTCCAACGGTACTCTTATTGATTTGAATAGTAGCCGTAAGCAACTTAACGCTTAATGCTTAACCACTTTTACCCTACTCACTTCTAACAAATATTTCATTCTTATAGAAATAACATGAAAAGAAATTTATGACTGAAATATGTTATGTAGTTTATTGTCTTCATTAAAAATGTATAATAAATAATTTTATAAGACTACAATGGCTGGGTTGTGGTGGCACACACCTTTAATCCCAGAACTTTGGCTGCAGAGGCATGAAGATTTCTTGAGGACAGCCTGGTCTACAAAGCTATACAGAGAAACCCTGTCTCAAGAAACAAACAAAAAAGAAAGAAAAAAGAATATTATATAAAATAACATATGTACTCTACTTAATTCTTATCTTTATTTGGTGAAATCCAACATTGTTAGCATTTGCAATTATTTGGATAAAACCTTGAGTCTTTATTCTACAATCCATTGTCTTCAACAGGGTAAAAGATTTTATTGGATATCAGTTTTCCTTTGAATAATGTAGAACTGAAAAAAATATTTTCCTATGTGATTTTTTTCATGAAATTATAATATGTCATTATAAATGTTCTAAAAATTGCAAATGTGAATTTCAAGTACTTGAACTGATGACTAGTGTTCCATTCCAGTTTGCTGTACAATTAAATCACACTGTTAGCTTATATTAGAGATTCTTTCATGTCTGTGAAACTCAAGTTACCTTTCAAATCACAAGATTCTCTTATGTGTACACATAGGTCAGCATTGAAAACTCAAACTATAAGTAAATGAAAGTATTCCGTAGTAAATTGGTGGCAGGTGGCTGAAGACAGCCTTCTTAATCACTATTATATGAGGTTATTTAAATGTATATTTTAGCCATTATTAAAATTAAGAAAAATGAAAAGGAAATATTTATAATATAAACATATTATACTTAATATTGTTATCATGGTAGCAAAATATATTTTTCTTTTTTGCATTGTGCATTAGCATTAAAATATATTTTACTTTTATATGACAATAATTCAAATATTACACATTTATTCTCAAATTTAAAGTGTTTAATTTTATTTTTCTCGGAAATGAAAAGTTTTTTACATAAGTTATTATTATAAAATGTTTTACAAGTAAAAACTTTCCTAAATATAGAAATGGATATCAATATACTTATAAAAGCTCCAAATTACTATACACAAAATATTTATTATTATTACAAAGCCAACCAGGATTCATCAGTTACTTTTTAAAACTTATTTTTTAAGGAGTATTCAGTATTTAGCAGTTTCTGCTGGCCCATGGTTTATCATGAGCAAGACAAACTTGCAATTTAGCTCCAGTTTAACCACAGGCATATGTGAGATCTCTCATTCAGCAGGCATAGCAACACAGATCTGTAAAATGTATTGCCATGTGCTTTGTTTAGCTGTGAGAGGAATTTAAAGAGGTATGAATTCTCATCTCACGTGCATTCTTTCCTACTTGCCTTTTTGGAAATTTGGTTTTTGGGTCATGTATAGCAAGCAATCCATGGAGGTTTTACACAGGACTTTACAGATAAAACTCCAGTTTTATGCATAATTTATGTATGTATCACAGAAGCATATATAACTTTCATTTTTCAGTTCCATAGTAATTATGGGCTGATCATTTAATTTTATTTTTGATAATAAATAGATTTTATAGTTAAAGAGATGTACAATAATGCCATTTACAATTCTTAGAATACATTAATATTCTTAAGTATAAGTATATGGAGTAGTTACAATACCATCTTATCCTCTAGATAATACAATATTCAGTTTATTATCTATGCTACCCATCTTCCTACCTACACCTTTATGATTGTATAATCCTGTCATATTCAGCTACAGGTATAGTATCATTGACTTGTTTGCATTTCTAGCTGACTCTCAATATCTCTACTTCTCTGTCCCTTCCTCCTCCCCGGCACCTATTCACAGACACGGTCAGAATGACACTGGGTATTACCCACAAACACATGCCAAGGAAAATCAGTCCATCTTAGAACTGTGTCTTAGTAATATAACAACTAACAAAGAATCTTATAAAAAATCACACCTGTATAGTGCTTTTAATCTTACCTGCCAAAAATATTACCTGCCAAAAAAACCAAACAAAAAAACCAGAAGCAAACACTATTTTGAAGTGATGATTTCAAAATTATTCTTAACAGGTTTTTAAAAATCTGTTGCCTCTGTCAAAGCCAAGTGCTTGGAGCCATTCATTTAAGTTTCAGTTAGAATGCAGAAATACCATCATCCTGAACACTTATGTAATCCTTCACTAATAAAAATAATAAAGCTTCTTTTTCACAGTGTGATTAACTTTGACTGACTTTCTGGTTATGTATGGTTCATGATAAGTTTTCCCTACAGTGAATCGAGGACGATATTGAATAGAAGTTACTCATCCTCTTTCTAAATAAAGGTTGAAAAATAATTAACTTATTAACATGTCATTTATTAGAATATGGTTTTATAGCCAGACAGTATGTCCCAATAATCAAGATATTGCAGCCTGCTGGCCCCTACTACATGTTTTCTTCGTCTATATATATCTTATTAGTTATTAAATGTCAAATTAGAAATTACATTAAGATAATTCTTCATACTTTGCATTGTGGAGATTTTATGGAGTTTGTTTTCTTTTTTAAGACACACTTTTCAATGGCCTTGGGCTAGGAGCCATCATTGGCCTTGGAGTCGCTGCCCTTTTGCTAATCCTTGTGGTCACAGATGTCAGCTGCTTCTTCGTTCGCCAGTGTGGGTTACTGATGTGCATTACCAGGAGAGTCTGTGGGAAGAAGAGTGGCTCCAGTGGAAAAAGCAAAGAGATTGAAGAAGGAAAGGCAGCATATCTGTGAGTATCAGACATCAACACCACCTCCCAGGAGTGAAGCACAAATTCAACTTGTGTCCTTAGTTTGGGGCTGTCTTCTGAGCCACACCAGGTGTTTAACTAGAATACAACACAAATGTTACTGTCTGTACTGACCTTAAATCTGTATAATCTATATACATACCAACATATACACAGAATATTCCAACTGACTCATTCTCACTAATCTGAATATATCCTTGACAAATTCTTTTTAAAGAGCAAGACTATGAATGCATCTATACATAGTTCATTTGTGCTCTTTCCAAATCAATGTTACACTAATGTCCCAACCAAAGGCAATTACTACTAATTTATTTTCTTTTTGCTTTTTTATATACAATCATTTTGATTACTTTCTGGCCCTACACTCTTTTATATCTTTCACTATTACTAACATCCATGTCTGTCTGTGGATCATGCTCGGTTTTGTGACTCACTCAACTTAACCTTGGGGGCCTTGTTGTGGCAATGTGTTTAAAACTTTCCATTTGGGTCTGCTTGATTCTCCAGTGGGAACAAAACTGAAGACGTGACTCCCTAGGGAAGTATAGGCTTCTCTGCCATGTATTCTTGCCTATCAGCAGACCTACTCCTGTTCAGGCATAGTCATATACTGTTAAGGGCTAAGTCATACCCAGATGTCACTTTTTATTTTCCTTCCTTTTATATGGTTTTTATATTCTTCCCGTCTCCTTTACCACAATATTACTTGAACCTTAGGTGGAATGAAATAAATTTTATTAAACCAATAAATTGTACTACTAATACAACATTCACTGCATTACATAAAAACACACAAAATTCACTCCTAAAATAAACTGCATTAAAAACAGACATGAAGGTGACATAACACAATTTTGAAGAAAGTAACAAGAAATACTAATTCTAAAATCAATTCTTAATATAGATTTATAGGTTTGTCAGTGAGCCACTCAAAATTAATCTTAAACATTTTGTAAATTGTGTAATGAATACAGCTTTTGTACCATCAAGTCAAAAGAATACTACAGTAATGAGTTGCCAAAGTTACAGTAAAATATTAAATTACCTAATTTGGTTCTCATCAAAACATTTATAATTAACTTCTTATTTCTTCTTTAAATTAGATGTTGAACATTTTGAACATTTTTTAAATTTTTTTTATTTAAGTTCTTTAATTACTACTCATATTTACATATCCATCCCCCATTTTGTTTTTCTAATTTAAAACTACATGTGGAGGGTTGATTTTGTATGTAGTGTTTTAGGAGTTGTTTGTTTGAAGAGTGCTTTCTTTGGGGCATGATCATTTCTGGGTATTTCAATCAAATATTTTGAAATTTTCTCTTTAACATTGTCATATTTTTATAGCATTAATCTTGCCACACTATTTCTTGAGCTTCACTGTCTTCTGCAAATGATCCCGAGAAAAATGCTCAAATGATTTTATAAGTTCAAAATACCCCACAACAAGAACATTATCTACATATTATTTCTGTTATTTTATAAACCATGTCTATTATATATCATTTTCTATTTAATCTCTTAATTGTCTGGAATCATTTCAATGTCAAACGTTGCCATTCAAGAACACACACACATTTAAATTTAAACTTGTACAGTTTTATAATTTCCTAATTTTTGATTCTGCTTTGAAAGTCTTGATCTATAACAATTCATTAAGTTTGCTTTCTATAATGCCCACAAAACTGCGATATTCCTGGTTTTACTTAAACTTACCATACACTTGAGGTTGGATCCAGATTCTTATCAATAATTTCATAATCAATAATTTCAGCACTGCTGGCCGAAACAAGCACATGTTGCTTACAAATAGTAATGTCTTTTCACCATATATGGTAGGAGTGGGTCTTTCCTTGTATTTCCTATTGTGTTACTTTTTCTTGTTGATTTTTTTTAAATCTAGTGCAGCAGTATTACATTTACTAATCATTAGCACATGCATAAGTTTCAGTCACCAAATGAAGCTTTATTTATTGTGCTAGTCTTCAAGTTTGATTTACTACTCTTGTCTCTTGCACTTCAATTTAAGCCACGTTATAATTCTTCCACAAGCACACACATCGGTACCCACCCTCCAGACACATTAAACACACACACACACACTCACACACACACATGCTACATAACATATCATACACAAATAAATTAATTTCAGTAGTTTCAAATATATTATCTTCAGTTTGAGATTGCAAACAACATATAAAGGACAAAAATCAATCTTAATTGAATGCTTATGTGGCATATCAATAAAAGTACAATTAATTTAGTGTACAAATTCTCTTTCTTTCATGACGGTTTGCAACTCAATACTTTCCTGTGGTTCTCTATCTGGTGAAATCATATAGTTATTGTTTGTTTGTTGTTGTTTACTTTTGCACAGAGACCTGTGGTAAACATTTTTTATGATATATTCTTAAAGCTCTGTGAAGGCATACAAGCATTGTGTAATTGAAGCATTTCTTGTGATTGTTTCTAATGCTCTTATAAATTTCTTAAGTGTTTTAAAATATTTTACACTTTACATTTTTTCCAAATTAGTCATGAACATCTTTATACTATAAACTTTGGTTAATAAAATATTTTGATTTTTAAAACATGGGATTTAAAATGTACACTATTTTTTCAAAATAATATTCCTTTTTTTTTTCTTTTTCAGACATGGCCTTGTTCCATAGTAAACCTGCCTCAAATTCCCAATCTTCTTAGCTGACTTCTGGGCACTAGACTTACAGATGTTTGTTACCTTGCCTAACACAAAACAACACCAATAACAAAAATACAATTATGATGATAAAAAGATGTTTTACTTAGTAAAAACATAATGAAAATATGAATTTAAAGGGAAAAAATGTTCACATTTGATTAATTAGGAAGTGTCTTTTGTATGTCTGTGGTATGCATTTGACACTCTGAAGAAGTAAATGTTTTAATATATCTTTTTTAGGAAAGATGGATCAAAAGAACCAATAGTGGAAATGAGAACAGAGGATGAAAGAATCACCAATCATGAAGATGGGAGTCCAGTAAATGAGCCAAATGAAACCACACCACTAACAGAACCTGAGTACGTAGCTACTAATGCTTACATTTGTGGATAAATATCAGAAAGGTGATAAAAAATATTTTAAAATTATGAAGAAAGTAATAATACTAAAAATGCCAAAGGAACATATACATAAATATAAAATATAAAATATAAGGATTTACTTCCTAAATAATGTTAATCACTTAATTTCAAGATGGTATTGGTATTGGTAACTCACAAATTTATTGTATGTAATGGCATGCTGCCCACCAATTGTTGATGGGTTTTTATGAATATTAATTAAATTTATTCATTTATTTTACATCTTGACAGCCATTTATGTTCCTTGGCCCCCTCCCACCCTGTCTCCTTTCTGACTAGCCTCAACTCTTCCTCTGTTTCTATTCAGAAAGGACAGGGCTACTATGGGTATCAATGAAGCATGGAATATCAAGTTATTATAGGACTAACCTCCTCCTGTTGTATTAAGGTTGAGCAAGGCAAGGTAGTATGAAGAATAGGTTTGCAAAAGCCAACCAACTTGTTTAGGGGAAGCCCCTACTCCTTCTGCTTGGAGTCCCACAAGTAGACCAAGCTAGACAAATGTCACATATAGGTAAAGATCCTAAGTCAGTCCTTGTGACAAATATTAAAGATAATAAACAAATAGTAGACATATGTCACGAGTTAGGCTTTTGATAACTCAAAAATTATTTATTTATTTATTTAATCTTGGGGGTGGTTTCATACAGTGTTTTTCAGTATAGCCTTGGCTGTCCTTGAACTTGCTCTGTAGACCAGGCTCGTTTCAAACTTATAGTGGCCCCTGACTCTCAAGTGCTAGGATAAAAGGTATGCATCACTACCATTTGGCAAATTATGTTCAATTTAAACTTAACTGATCAAATCTAAGTTATTCACAATGGACAATTTGGCTCATCTATATTCATAAATACCTCTTTCCACACATTCTCTATCACATTACATTCTTAAAAGGGTGAATACAAACAAGTTTACATACTAGTTTATTTTATAATACACTCTTTAAGAAATTAAAAGGTTATACCCATGAAAAATTTCCTAAAAGGAACACTATAGAGACTGGTTGGTTGGATTTCAGAATAGATTTGTAGATACATATGCGTATATGCATGTAACAACAATTAATGGAAAAAAGAAGCTATGACTCTAAAGGATAGCAGCATATGGGAGGGTTGGTGGAAAGAACTAGGAAGGAGTAACTTTATAATTTCAAAGAATAAAGAATAAAACTAAGTTTTAAAATATTTTTAATCTTTTTCTCTGTAATAACAATAGCAGGATTCATTTACAAAATGCTTATTGAAACAGAGAGAAACATGTTTTAAATTATCCCTAGAAATTGAGGTTTCCATCTCTCTGTTAATTTCCAGAAAATTGCCTTTAAAAGAAGAAAATGGAAAAGAAGTCCTAAATGCAGAAACTATAGAAATTAAAGTGTCTAATGACATCATCCAGTCTAAAGAAGATGACAGCAAAGCATAACTGCAAGTTTCAGCACCTTGGTCAGCACCACAAAGAGCAATTGGATTGCAGTGACACTTTGACCAAAACTATTCCATTGACCTTAATTTCTTGGGAAACGTCTAGCTTGGAATAGCTTGTACACATATACATATGATCAACTCCTCCTGCCACAGTCCATTTCCTTCTGTTGTTATTGTTGTGGTTGTTTATTTTATTAAGAATTTTGGTATAAGTGCTTGATTGGCACCAATTTTTTGGTATCAGTTTGATTCTATGACTGAAGTACTGAAATTTATTATATGGCTAAAGTGCTTTACTTTTAAATTTTTTTGTCTCATGTAACACCAACAGATGTATTTCAGCCCTCTAAAATGTTAGGTTGCAATGGAAGGCAGAGCAAAAGCATTGTGAGCTAAGTGTGTACGAAAGCCCTGCATGTTTATGAATCTTAATTGGGCAAACACTTTTAAAATGGCTTTCCGATTAAGATGAAGGTACATAATAAAGGTTATGCTTTTCACTAGGAGAATTTCAGGGAACCCAAGTTTGAAGGAGCCAGTCAGTTATCTTTTGCAGATATTAGAAATTGAAAAAAACTGTTGGAGATCTCTTTTCAACTTATGACCACATTGCATTTTCGACATTGATCTTGGATATACTGATACAAGGGCAAAATTGTTACACATCTGAAAAAAGATTACTTGTGTATAAAATTATATTAGAAAATGCCCTAAATCTCTTTTTATGTATACCATATTCACTCACAGTGGTTACACAAAAAGTAAATGTATTATGAGTAAAAATGGTATTGATTTCTGCCCTCAGCTTCAAATAAAGTAAATTAAATGGGAAAATATCAATATGCTGTCTTGATATATTTATAAATACATGATTATTTTTATTTATACAATAATTTATCAAAAATAAAGTTGTTTTCAAGTACTTGGAGTCATATTAGCTATGTTTTGGGGTATAGATTTAAGTGATCATTATTATCATGTATCCCTCATTGAATCAACGTGGCTAATGGACATTAAAAGTATAAGCTAAAGTGAAATTATTCAACAATCAATGAGCATTGAAATGCTACTATTGTTTTATTTTAGACAGTGAAATTTAAAATCCATTTTAAACTCATTTTAAGACATTTACCAAACAGCTATGATTGAAGCAAACATTTACCTATTCAACATAGACTTTCTATTATCACTTCTTAAGGACTATTCAAGAATATGATAGTTACTAACATACAAGCTATGCAAACTCCCTGAGGTCAAATTCTGAACTATGATTTAACTTATGTGAATGGGCAAACACATTTGTAACTATCAATGTACATATGTGAGGAGCAGGGTTCTTAAGTCAGAGGTCCTAAGGTTGCTATAGTCTCCTACTTCTCACAACCTTTGGGGTTGTGGTACCAAGTGAGTAGCTCCAATATTGATGCAGTGGAGAATACATTCTAATAGTTCATTGGAGGGATATTTTTAACAGTGAAGACGGACATGTTCTTACACCATCTCTCTTTAGAGGTAATTTCATGAAAATTAAATACAATATTAATGCCCCCTGGAATACTTTTATGTATAAAGTACTTAAACTTGTCATGCAAGCAGAGAAAATTGATTTATTGTATCAAGTACCTCATCTGCTGGCTGTTCGCTAGACTGAATATGCCCAACTGCATGTAAAGATGATGCAATCTCCACAGTGCTTTGCTGGAAATTAAGGGTTAATGCAGGGATTTCTCCTTGCTGCCCATTGTGGCATAGTCTGAAGAGAGAGAGGGGGGAGGGAAAACAAAACATAGAGAGAAACCTGTGCCTATTGAAGAATCTGAGAAGTGTCTGAACTAAGCAAACAAACCAGTGTAACCCTTTGACAAAACTGATAATCAAACATGTTCTTGATAGATTTGCTTGGGATGTTTAGATTATGTTTGTCTGGTTATTTAGGTTCCATTTTAAGCTGTACTTCATTTTGCTTGTTTTGTTTTGTACCAAATGTGCTAAAACTAGTCGAGATACTTGAATTCGTTTGTTTTGTGTAAAGTCAAGAAGCGTATTAGTGGTGTCTATGAAGCAATAGCCATGAACACTGGTTTTTCCTGGGTAGAACCACATGGTTTTAAAGTAATGATATTAAAATAATTTGTATGACTTATAAAGCGATTCCGCATGTGTAGAATTATCATATTGTGCTATACCACAAGAACAGAGAAATCAAAAGAAAAAAGTATTTTTTTGTGTTTTATCAATTTGAAGCTTCAGTTTTATCATGTCTTCAGATTTTCTATGAAAAGAAACTGAATTAAGTTTATATACATTGAGCTAAATTTCTTGTCCATCCTATGGAGCCATTGGGTGACTTGGGACAGTGTCTGTGCATGGTTTCAGTTGTCTGGGAAGTGCCGAACCAGTTCTTCCCATGAGATAAATGCTCTGCAGACATCTTGATATGGTAAACTTTTCAAAATTTCAAAGATATTCCCCTGACCATACAGTTGGTAACACTTCCAAATGAGAATGTCATGTAGTAAATTCTCAATTTATGAGTAATTCTGAATCTTATTTTTAATGCTATTTTAGTATAAATGAATTTATGTAAATTTTAGTACCTGAAAGTTCACTGCCATATTATAATAAAATGTCCACTAGGAAAAATTTAGCTATTGTTAAGAAAATATGTACTTTAAACCAATTTAAACAAGGAGAAATATAAGGTTGGAAGAAGATAAAAAATGTCAATCTGTATTTGAAACCCCATAAGAGGAAATTTTAATAGTTGAATTTTAATACATATTTTATTTTTAAAACTGACACAAATATGTAAGAGTAATTTACAATGGTTTTTGAATGCATTAAAATTGTGATTTCAACAGGTTAATTTATTATTTTGTCGATAAGATATATTACTCTTCTATTTATACTAATGTCTAACATTAATAGACTTTAAATCTTTTATTTGTTAATATTAATACCTACAACAAAATTTTTAAAAGATTTTGGATCCAACAAATGTCATATTAATATCAATCTTTGTGTTAAGCATCTATATACATAAAATACATAATAGTTATTAAATGAATTTTAAGTTCCAGCAGTTAACTGTATATTAAAATTATCTATTTATTTTGAATAATTAACAGGTATTTGTGCCTTTACATTAGCATGAAATTCTGTTAAAGAAGAATTACAACTACTATCACTATTTATATGTTTTCATCATACATGTAATATTAAAGCTGAATTTTTTACAATCAATGAATAAACTTTATTCCAACCTCTTTCACTTAGCCATAGAATCTAAAAATATATAATATATATACTTGAATTTATTTTCACTTACAATAAAACAGTACTGTAGTCCATGCATAAGATACTTCAATTGGTTCTGTATTGTTTTTCTAGTTGATAATTCCATATTGGGAAAACTGTGATGTTAGATCTAAGAAACAGAAGAGATGCTATTTAGAGTCAGGGTAATTTCTATGGGGTCACTTGGGTCTTCAATGTTGCTGTTGAGATCAAAATTATTCATGTGATGACAAGATAAGCAAAGATCAAAATACCTACAATTGAAATTGTAATAGAAGTTTGTATATTAATTTAAAAATATTGGTGAATCATATAATAGTTATTTAAAATCACATTATTTTTCATGGAGTATGATGTAAATGCTTAGTTTGATTTCCTCATGGAGTTCTCTTTTGGAGGGACTTTTTTTTTCAACAAACTTCATATAAACTGAAAATCATTTTAAAATGAGAATTTTCTTATCTCCAATTTCTGTTTCTTATTTAAGCCCTTGAAATATTCTGTCTAAAATTGAAATAGCAAATATATTTACATATGTTAAACTTTAAAATGTGTTTGGTTAACAATTCAAATTTAATCACAGAATTTAAATTTTTCAAGATAATATAATATATATTGTCTTAATATTCTAATATGAAACAATTGTTTGTTTGTATAAATCAAAATATTATGAAGGCCTAGAAATAGTAAGTGCTGAGTACATGTAATTTTCTCCCAGGCCCCACCCTTCTTTGTTTTAAATTGTGTTCTCCGATGTAGATGCAACTATTTAAAAACAGTATACAAGATTACTAAAATAATAACTATCTCTCTTTATAAAGTATCTCTGCCTTTTATATTATATATAATGATAAATATTTATTTGGTAACACATTTAATAGTCTTAAAACATTTCATTATTACTACATACCTTTATAATAATTTAAATCAATTAGTTAATTTAGTCACTTTAATTTTTATCATTTTAAAATATTTGTGGTTATTGACCAGGCATTGTTCATGGTGATTATTTAGAAATTTCTCATACAAATTTATATATTACAATTTTATCTTTTTCTTATTTGCAAAGTTATATCATTTGTTGTCTGATTTTTAGCCTCACATGGAAGAAAATAAGTAAAGCAATGATGTCTGCAGTGTTTGTATTAATATCAAACAGAAGACTTAAGGAAAAAAGAAATGAAAGTATAAGTAAAATGGAATATACACAGAAATGCCTAATCAAGGTATAAAATCAAGGTATTTTTAGATGAATATTTGTGCCAATAATAGTAGAGCAGAGAAAATACCCTAATGGCATTTGGAAGACCATGTAAACAGAGATCATATTATATAAATTATAATTCGATTTGCAAATAGGATGTTCAAAAACATGCTACAGTAGAAACAATATCATTAAAACCTAAAACGTTTTTGCATATACAAATTATATTGTTTGTTTGTCTCTAACCCCACTGAGAAATAAATCAACTTAATAGTAAACAATTACACACACACACACACACACACACACACACACACACACACACACACTTGGAGGTATCTATTCAACGATATTAAAACATGCAGTAATTTATTTTTTAACTTATACATTCCACCCAATATCTGTATAGTTAACTATTATGTTTTCTTATTATTTCAATATAGTATGTCCCTATGAAATGCTGTATATATATGTCTAAACTGTAAAAAGTATACTGC